AAGTCTTCTCCTCAAGCTCCTTCAAAGTGCGTCTACGTATCTCTTGATCACGAAAAGCTTCGGTTTGAATCGCCTTGCTTCGTGTAGGGATTTTGACTGGAGTTGTGTTGACCATCATTGCTTCCTTGGTGGGTTTCCACGTAGCCTTATCCACCTTTGGCCCCAAAACTTTGTCATTCTTGTAGTCGGCGGTCTGTTCTTTCTTCCCATGACGGTTGATGCTTAACTCCATATCATGGGCGCGGGTGGCTAACTCCTCAAATGTTTGTGGTTTGATGCCTTGAAGGATGTAATGTAGTCCCCACTGCATGCCTTGAACGCACATCTCAATGGAAGAGGTTTCAGAAAGCCGATCTTTGCAATCCAGACTTAAAGAACGCCATCTATTTATGTAGTCGACGACGGGTTCATCTTTCCACTGTTTCGTGCTGGTCAGCTCTAACATGCTTACAGTACGACGAGTGCTGTAGAAACGGTTGAGGAATTCCCTTTCTAGCTGGTCCCAACTGTTGATAGACTCAGGTTTGAGGTCAGTGTACCAGTCAAAAGCGTTACTTTTCAGTGAACGCACGAACTGTTTAACGAGGTAGTCTCCCTCTGTCCCAGCATTGTTGCAAGTTTCAATGAAATGGGCGACATGTTGCTTCGGGTTGCCTTTTCCATCGAACTGCATGAATTTTGGGGGCTGATAACCCCTTGGCATCTTCAAAGCATCAATCTTCTTGGAGTAAGGCTTTGAGTACAGTACGGAGTCATGCGAGCTTCCTTCGTACTGTGTCTTGATAGTGCTTGCGATCATCTCCTGTAGCTCCTGGATAGAGAGAGATCCCATGGATGTCGTTGCTTGGTCTAGCTTCGGCTTCTCTTCGACTTTCTCCACTGGTGGCTCCTCTTCTTCGTCACCTTCTTTCTTTAATAGGCCAACAATTGGGTCGACTTTCACGTCGGGTAGCGCCTCTAGTTGGTTGACAAGTGCGGCAATCTGCAAGTCCTTCTCTTCCACAGTTCGTGTGAGCTTTGCGATTGCTTCATTCATCTGAGCTAGCTGCTCCTCGATTGAAGTTGCTCCCGTGGTCATGACTTGCATGGTTGTACTGCCGCTCGAATCAGCGTCGGAGAGTAGGGACTCTGAGTATTTCCTTGGGCTCTCCCCTTTTGATGCCCTTAGCGAGGCTAGGGTGATCACAGGCTCGTACCTCAGGTGCTCTTGTTCCTTTGACAAAGTTAATGCAGGGGCGGAAGCCGCGGCAAAAAGATCTCTTGCCTTACTTCGGGTTATGATGCCCGAAATATCACTACTTGCGGCGATGATGTTCTTGTTCTTTGCTTTGATTGCAGGAACAGCTTGATCCTTTCTTGATGCCATTTGCGTCTTTCGATGATTTGATGATAGAGATGAGAGGTAGAGATTGTCCCACCGGGCGTGCCAAATTTGTAAACACGAGAAATTCCTGAAACACAAGAGACAAGAATACGTGTACAAAATATATATTTTGTATTAATGATTTTGGGGTTACAATCTCTTTGTAATTTGGTCCTCTGATTCTATCTTCGTAGGGTGTGGGTTTGTGGATGAGTTGTTGATCCAAAGGGCCGTCGGGGCTTGATCTAAGGATGCACAGTTGATGAATGGATCTTCAAGGGGCGTTGGGCTTGATCTTGAAGGTTGATGGATGAACGGATCTTCAAGGGGCTTCTGGGCTTAATCTTGAAGGATGAACGGATGTGTGGATTTGTTGAGGTTGTTGATCCAAAGGGGCCGTTGGGGCTTGATCTTAGGATGAACGGATGATGAGCGATGAACACTTTCTTCAAGGGCCGTCGGGGCTTGATCTTGAGTTGGTGGAAGTTCTTCAAGGGCCGTCGGGGCTTGATCTTGAATTGAACGGATGATGAACGATGAACACTTTCCTCAAGGGCCGTCGGGGCTTGATCTTGAGTTGGTGGAAGTTCTTCAAGGGCCGTCGGGGCTTGATCTTGAATTGAACGGCTTGATCTTGAACTGAACGGATGATGAACGATGAACACTTTCCTCAAGGGCCGTCGGGGCTTGATCTTGAGTTGGTGGAAGTTCTTCAAGGGCCGTCGGGGCTTGATCTTGAATTGAACGGATGATGAACGATGAACACTTTCCTCAAGGGCCGTCGGGGCTTGATCTTGAATTGAACGGATGATGAACGATGAACACTTTCCTCAAGGGCCGTCGGGGCTTGATCTTGAGTTGGTGGAAGTTCTTCAAGGGCCGTCGGGGCTTGATCTTGAAGGTGGATTTGACGAAGAACGAAGATTGCTTTCTTGATCCTTCGGGATTTGCCTGAGAGCTTTAGAGTTTCAAGGCTTCTTTCTTTCTTTCTTCCTTCTTTTCTTCTTTTCCTTCTTTCTTCTCCTTTCTCTCCCCCCCCAAAATGAATGTCTTTGGCCTCCTATTTATAGAATTCCAAAACTTGATTTTTGGATTTAAATAATCAGATGAAATAAATCATTTCTGCCAGGTATTGACACGTGTCCTATTTGATGACTTTTCCAATTTATTTCGATTTTTCGTTGAGTCACACGCTACATGTAAAATTTATGTGATACGTGAGCGTTGAAATTTTAATTATTGGTCAACATTCATTTCACCGAAATTTTGATGTCTACACTTTGTATTTCTGACTTGTTTCTTGAAGGTGCTTGTGCGTCATGCTATCGATCTGCTTGACATTATCAATGAAACTTTCATCTTTGCCACTAATTCTTTTCGCGTTTGGTACAGGAGCAAGATCAACTGGTGCTAGTGGAATTAAGCCAAAAACAATGTAGAAAGGACACATTTTGGTGCTACAATTGATGGAACAATAGTAGGCAAACTCCACAATACATAACTTGTGGTCTAATGACTTCAGATGCTAACCAACCAGGCAAAGCAAAAGGTCCCCTAATTAGCAATTCACAACTTCAGTTTGCCCATCAGGTTGAGGATGAGGCGTTGCTAAAAATCAATTGTGTATTAGCTAATTTCTGCAGGCTCCTCAAAAAAATACTGGGAAATTTGGTGTTTTGATAAGAAATAATCGATCTTGGTAACCCATGAATTTGATATACATCATGAAAGAATAACTCAACAACTTTTGAAGCATCCATTGTCTTCTTGCAGACAATAAAGTGAGCCATCTTGGAAAATCGATCCATCACAACAAAAATTGAGTCTACACCGCACTAAGTATGAGGCAAATCTGAAACAAAATCCATGCTTATATCTACCCATGGTTGTGATGGAATGGGTAATGGCATGTATAATCTAGTGTTTGCCGCTTTGCCTTTAGAAACTTGACAGATTCGACATCGTTCTACAAAACGATATACATATTTGCGCATGGTAGGCCAGAAATAAGAGAAAGAAATAAGCTCAAGGTCTTGTCCCTTCCAATGTGGCCTTCATTATAAAACTCTTGTATGATCCTCAATCTTAAACTAGACTCTGGTATGCAAAGTTGGTTCCCTTTAAAGAGAAACCCATCATGCAACACATATTATGTTATAGTTCCATGCTTAACATCTTTAACAAATGTAAAGAAGAAAGGATCAGTTTTCAATAAATCCTTCAAAGAGTCAAACCCCAATACTTGAATTCTCATCGAGCCAAGTAAATATTTCCTCCGACATAAAGCACATGCAACCTGATTTTGCACACCGGCTTTGTGCTTTAAGACGAATGTAAATTCTTGCAACTATGCTGGCCACTTAGCATGCCTTGTTGGTAATTTTTCTTGATTGTTTATATGCTTTAAAGAGTCATGATCGGAAACATAACAAACTCTTTGTAGATCAGATAGTGCCTCCAATACTGCAATGCTTGAACAATGGCATAGAATTCCAAGTCATTTGTGGAATAATTCAATGTTGAATGATGAGTCCATATTATGCCATATATTTCACCCTATTCTTAGTTATAGTTTATTGGAATAATCCTATATAAGGCATCACGCAAAACACGAGCATCAGATGCAGAGCCTTGCCATCCAGGTAACACATAAAAAAATCTTGAATTTGGACCACAAATTCCTAACATATTAGTGGATATATCACCCTTTCTATCTTGATATCTTGGTCTTTCCTCATCCATTATTGTTACTGGTATGAGAGTTCCATCAAGTGCTCCAAGACAATTCTAAATAAAAATGTTATAGAAATGAAAAAAAAAAGAGATAAGCCTAAAAAGCTAATGAAGATATCAAACGAAGACATATTTTTTTGGTATAGTTGTTGATTGATTACCTCAAACCACCGCCACTTGTCTCTTTCAGAATTGCCAATAACACTTGGCTAATATTTCACATATTCTTGACTTATTTTCATCATTGCATGCAACACTTTGTGAAATTGTTGACTAATTGTTTCCTTGGAATGATAATAATGAAAACCGATGACTCTAAACTTCAAGTTGTGGGCAAGTATATTCAAAAAAATTGCGACAGATTCTTCAATGGACACATTTCTCGTGTGAACTAATCCACCAATCCCTTGTAAAATTTCACATAACTGCTTAAATGCACTCTTGCTAACTCGTAATTGTTCAATGCATGTTGAATCCTTTCCATCGAGGAATCGACCAAGGAAAGCTTGCCTTTCTTGATCCCAATCATTTGAAGGTTCTTTGAGAAGAACACTCGTACTATGCCAATGCATGACCATGACAATAACATATATAATTGTACTGACAATGTGATATCCCGTCCCCAAAATTATTATTTTATTTTATTCTTGACGTATTTCGAAGATTTGATTGGAACTAGTTCTTTATTTCTCCAAATTTAAGAAAACAAAGTGAGGGGTACATTAGTCATTTCAAATTTTCTCGATCTTTTTGGTCAACTCTTGAATTGGTTAGGTAGAGTTCGATTCCATGAGCGCGTAGGCGCAAACAGATCTTATTTCCGAGTCCGAACGGAGAAGTTAGAGTCGTTTGAAGTTGGTGGCATTTTGGTTATATTACCAAAATGCTATAAATTGGGGGGATTTCAGAAAATGGGAAGGGGGAAACGGCACAAAACCGTTTTAGGGGGAAATTTGACCCATAAACTCACCAAACTTGACCCGCTTGTATCTTTTTCATCCGAGCTCCGTTTTGGATGATTTTGGTGTCCCTGGAAAGCTCTTGACGAGCTCTACATCTCTGTGATTTTATATTTTCCCATTTCTTTTTCCATCCGTGCAGTTCGAGGTCGCAAAGTCCACGACCTTGCCGGCGGATTTATCATCTTTTCGGCGATTCAGGCAACGATTTCCTTCGAGTGAGGTATGAAACTTCATCTACTCTTCATAATCTTCAAGTGGGTATGCTTAGTTTGTGCTTTCGTATTCATTTTAGAGTTGGGTGTTTAGAACACCTAGAAATCCGGTTTTCTCCGATGAAATTGGACTGTTTCCGGTTAGAATTTATCGCCGGCCTAGTTGTGAAAAGTGTTTCCCTTGTTGAGCTCTAGCTACCACGTAAATTTGAGCTCCTCTAGTTAATGTTGAAATTCGGGGTTTGTAAACCCTCCATCTTGGCTTCCACCTGCATGTGGCAGTGCGTGGGATCGTTCCCGAGTGTTGTCTAGGTTTTAAATACCTTCTAGTGACCATGTGAACCTATGTCTAGCTTGGTTTCCAAAGATTCAATTGTTGGGTGTGTAGATCAAATTTCTTGATCAAGGGTTTGGTTCAAAGGTCAATTTCTTGTTAATTTTGAGTCATGTTAGTTTTGGATGTTGTATACATGACTTCTGGACTACCGGGAAGTATTTTGGGATGTGTTATATGAATTGGAAGTGGGTTGTTACGTAAATTGCAGAAAATTGATTTCTTTGCAAAGAAAACTCAAGTTTCGAGTAGCCTTCTTTGGCTCTTAATTTCTAGGCCTTTATGTGCTCCTTTGGAGAAAATTTTTAGTGTGTTGAAAGTACATATGCTCATGATCGTAACCCAATTGTTTTCACTCAATTTCATTGAGTTTTAGTTGATCAAAACCTTCTTTAAGTTTGGGTCGCGGGCTGCCAGACAGCAGCAGAAAATTGGGTTTCTAGTTTCAAGACTCCGTTTTTCCTTTTGGCATAACTTCCAATTTAGAGCTCCGTTTTCTACAAACTTTGTATGCTTTTAAAGTACAGAACACAAGCTTCAAAACCCATATAATATCACATGATTTGGTTTAGTTTGGAATGTCCCAAAGGGAGCCTAAACTTGGTCTAATAGTGCTGTTTCTGCAGATTTTGTGGAGAAGTAGAGTACTTTTTTTTGCCACACCTATTTTCTTTTCCAGTTTCCCTTCTAATCTTCTTTACTACTAATTGAGTGATATTATTTGAGTGGTAGATCCCATAATCAGTTTACTTTCTTTAGATAATATTAATTTTGTTCCTTTGAAGAGCCTAATCGGAACACAAAAGTACAATCAAGAGTATAAATACAAGTAGCACACATTACTAACCAAACTAAGCTATTAAAATGTGATTTCTTTTATAATTGGCCATCGATCTATTTTTATTAAATGTGGTTTGATTGTGGATGGGTAATATTGTGGAAAAGTGATTCGAATTGCATATTGAAATGTGAATTATATATATACATACGCCATAGACCCATGTTAATTAAATGTGAATTCTATTGAAGTGTTATTTTATTTGTGGCCAGTGATCTATTTTCAGTAAGTATGATTTGACTTGTGGATTGGAAATATGGTTTGTATTGTATGATTGGATTGATGTGATGAAATGCGAGAGCTAGTAGTGGACCTTTAATCCATTGTTATGGGGTTTGTTGCTTCGAAACATGTTTCAACCCTCGTGTCATTATTCATTCTCGTTTCATTGAGTCTTTGTACCTTGAGTAACTTGATCTATGTCTTGTTTTATCGATTGGTGTTACACATTCTACTCCGCGATTTCGTTTAGTGATGGTCCGAAATCGTATCCTGGTTTGGATTCCGTTGAGTGATGGTCCGGAATCCTTCCTACTCCACTCCGCGATTCCGTTGAGTGACGGTCCGGAATCGTATCTTGGTTTGGGTTCCGTTGAGTGATGGTCCGGAATCCCTCTTACTCCGCGATCCCGTTGAGTGATGGTCCGGGATTGCATCCACCTTAGTTCATGGAGTTTAGTTTGAGATGGTTGCAAAGTGTAGGTTTTGGATGAACAGTGTCGCCTAATTCTACTTTCATTGTGTGTATGTGAATATGGGTGTGAGATGTTATGGTCGTTTAAAATGAACTTTCGGATGTCTGGGTGCCTCCCTCGGGTTTTCAAAAGTTTGGTATTGATTTCCTATGAAAGATTTATATTCAAGGTTTATAAATTATGATTGATGGCTGGTTTATTATTGTGTCACATGCTTATTTTATTGTCCCTCACCCGAGTCTCTCAGCTTATCTGAGTGCCTGAATTACCAGTCACCAATTCCATAATATTGGCATTGACTTTACATATGACAGGTTTGGGTGGATTATGAGAAACCGCTTGATATTTTGGTTCCGTTGAGTGGTCCGGAACCCAATGTTGTTGGATTCCGTTGAGTGGTCCGGAATCCTTGCTCTTGTTCATTCCGTAAGGTGATTTAGAATCCTAAATTCGAGTAGATGGGAATTACCCACAATAGATATTGTGAAAATAAATTAGAATTACCATGTTATTATTCTTAACCCAAATTGGAAATTATGTAGAGTTCTTTAATTAAATTCGTGAAATGATATGTTACCTCATTGATTGATTAACGTAATTAAATGTTAATATTGTACTTTGTGATTACTTGATATGTTACAAGCTATGTATTGAAATATAATGTTGGAAGTATAGTGATTAGTATGATGAAGTGAAATGTGATGTAACTTGGGTATTGGAAATGGTTATGACACATGATTGTAATGCATATTGAATTGCTTGGGAGATGTGAGGTCTAGTAAATGACCGATGACCCGTTGTGATGTGGATTTTACTCAAATATTGCTTCGTTTCGTTGAGTTTCGTGAATTGGGTAGCTTGAATCATGTCTTGTTCCTTCGAGCCGTTGTTATGTTTCTTGGACTTCCGTTCAATTCGGTTGGGTGGATTGGAACTGAGTTCTGTTTGGATTCCGTTGAGTGATGGTCCGGAATCCCCTTTGGAGCCTTGGTTCGTTGTGCGGTCCAAAATCCCCTTTTCCAAAGATGTAGTCTTCAACTGAATTGTGTTGCTCTAGCCTTGCGTTTCGACTTGTTGTATGTGTTATTGATGATGTGATGGTTGACATTATTGATTGATGTGATCGTGGAATGACGTTGGATATGAGTGGAGTTATCATGAGTAATTTAGTTGATTAATGTTTCTAGAGATTAATATGTTCTTTGTTAATTCTTAAATATGTTACTCGCTATGAAACGCGAATTTATGTGGAAAACGTGAGGAATTTATGTGAGGGTTGAAGTGGGATATGTTAATCGTCATGTGGGATTGTTATGTTGGATACCATGGTTATTGTTATGACTAGACTTGTTGATGAATGTGGCTAGAGAATGGTATTATACATCGTTGGTTCTTTGAAATGATATATGTTGTGAATTGCGGTATCATGTTGTGACTTAATGGCCTATATATTGATGGAGGGGAAATCATGATTTTCAGATGGGTTGTTATGTAACCCTGAGTCTAGTATTTTCATGCTTGTCAAGTTCTATTGACTGATTAAGAAATGTTATACCTTTCGACTTAATCAGACTGTGTTATATGTCAATTATTGTGCATGACGAACTACGAATGGCTTGATCCCTGTCTAGGGTACGTAGGCAGTCTAACAGGGAGGTTAGATGCAGCCATAAAGCATACGAAAATAACTATGTGGTTCGATTATTGGGTTGTGCTTGGCCATATCCCGGAGGTGGGATATGATAGATACGGATTTTTGTTGACGCCACGTGTCAATTCTGGACGGATGTCAGGATTGGGGCGTGACAGACAATAATTGTCCTTTTTTACCTATTTTCCTCTTCATTCATAGCACGCTGTCGCTTTACCCTCGTTAGCATGTCTACAATATGATATTTTACATACCTATTTGAATGTATGAACAAAGATATATTGAGATATGCAACAAATATTTATGGGATAATAGTATTTTCCATTGAAGTGAAGTAAACAATTCAGGGGAAGAACCACTCTCCTCCCCCCCCCCCCCCCCCCCCCCCCCCCCCCCCCCCCACCACAAACCCAAAAAAAAAGCCACCACCATCACCAAAAACCCTCCACCTTTCCCAGGTAAGGTTAATTCCATACCAAATAGACAATTCAATCGGAGAAAAAAAAAAACATAATAAGCACACCAACCATAAAACTATCAACAAAATTCACAATTCTATAATGAGTATACCCTTTTTGATTTCCTATTACATGCATTTTCACACAGAAAATGTATTACAATTGATCCCCAAGCATAAACATTCCAAAGGCCAGCATAATGCTTCTCTATTCAAACATATTCATATATCTAATGTCTATATGTATACTTGTCCTTTTTCATTTCTGTTTTCTCCCACTGCGTTTTAGTGCAAGAGGTACCTCAGAATTCAAGATATCTAACTATATGCATAAGGAATCATTAAGTAGATCCAGGATCGAGATTGAACATTATCAAAATATTCCTCACTCTTCAAATTATGCAGACTGAATTCGGGATTCTCATCGTTGTTGGAATTGTGAAATTACACCTCTTTAGGAGGAAATTAAACTCAGAAATCTTCGTCCCCAATTTCCACCTTTTTTCCCCTAGAAATTGGCGTTTCTCACGCTGCAAGGTTCCCAAACGAGGGAAAACTGCTTTCCCATCCTAAATTCCCTAGTTTAAGTGAAATTCTATTTCATTTTACCGTATCCAAATGGGGTGTAAAGGAATTTGAAATGAGGGTAGTTGAAAAGGATCTTTTGTCTAGGTGAGTCGTAGGTACCAAGTCTCAGGCGAGCCCAGAGTGCACAGTTTCTTTTAGGGTAATTCCGTATTGGCGACGAAGGGTTTTGGCAAGACGACTAACAAAACGGGAAATTGGGATGATTTAGTTCGTACAATTAGTCACTCGAGACCAAGTGGTATAAGTACGAAATGGGATGTACGAGGTCTGGGTGTTTACTTATACGGATTAACGGGTATAGACGAAGATTCTGCATTGCAATCTACATTGTTGTTAATAATGAATGCATACTTTTTTTTTTTTTTTGACAGAAGTACGATAATTCATTGCAAGCAAATTCAAAATACGAACAAATTGAGAATAGTGTGCATACTAGGCCTTGATAAAACCTTGCTTGGAATTTCACTCCGGTCGAAGGAAAAAAAGTGTCTTGCACAACATAAAGGACCTATCCTCAAATGTCAATACATAAACAAATTTTGAACTATCTTCGAACAAAATATGCAACTTAGGGGATTATACCATGACACTTAATTTAAGATTGTCAATTTACTATAACAAGGTTATGTCCTTACTGAGTTGTTGAAGCTCATCCCTCTATTGTTATGCAGGTTTTTGAACTAAACAATTCAAAGGGTAGGCAGGATGGGATTGTGTCAGATGTGAGGCTAGAATTTGTTTTATCTATTTATATTAGCATTGTAAAGAATTTGTATTTATCTATTTATCTGCTTCTCTCTCCCTTGCCCATCTATCTGCTTCTCTCTTTCCCAGATCTGAAACCCAGCCCATCCACTGCCTAAATCTCAACACCAAAATTTGAAAAAAAAAATTCAAAACAAAAACAACTACAATCCCCATACAAAATTCTTCCATATTCCCAATAATTCCCAAAAAATTCCCAAAAAAAAAAACATTTTCCCAAAAAATTCCTGAGAAATGGATTGAGAAAGGGAGAGAGTAGCTTTGGTACAAAGAAACATGGAGAGACGGAGGAGAGAGTAGCTTTAGGGACGATTTTGCAGGAAAAATCACCTTGAAGGATATTGTTTTGCAGGAAAAAATGAGTGCTGGGGGACGACACTAACAAGGAAGAAAAGAATGAACTCCCAAAGAGAAAGTCCAGATAGAGAAGAGCGTCCCAGGCACAAACACAAAGAAAAAGCTTGAATAAAAAATAAAATATTATTGAGTTAATAACAAAATATTATTAAATGTGTATTTAATAATATAAAGTTATAGTTGTTAACTATTCTTTTTTTTAGTCCGGCACTCTACCAAATGCTTCACTAAATCAGTCCAGCTTAGTCTAGTCTAAGTCAATCTAACTTAGTCCCTCAAGCTAGTCTAGTCTGAGTTAATCCGGTGCAACAAACGCACCCTTAGTGTTTACCCTGACTTGGGAGCTTAGGGATTTTCCTACGTCTGCTATGTACATTTTCAGAGTTTATTTAAATGCATACATGTAAGATACCTTCATGTGATGTGGATGTGAAAATTAATTTGCTAATCCAAATTGACATTAGATTTATAAATTGGAACCTATTCACCTCCCTTAAACTAGTACCATCCATCATTGAAACATAACATATGAGCTCTTCATCACCACCTTTTCCATTCACACCATGGCGGATTTTGTGGATTTCTCAACCACTAATCACTTTCTCGCAAAGGACTTTTATGACAATAATACGTCGCCATGGTGGAGTCTCAAGCCAATGAAACAATTATAACTGTATAAGTTTTTCTATGCAATATTATGTCATTAGCACGAAACGCGATAGTGAGGATACACCCATACCTTAGAACTTGTTTCAAAAAGAGATCTCTTGGTAGGGATGGCAACGGTTCGGTTTGGGGATGAAAGTGCTATATCTAATCTCATAACCATGAAAATTAACCATATCCATAACCGCAAATTAACCATCGGGTATTATCCATAACCATAGCCATCGGTTAACGGTTATATCCATTTTTGTCAATACAAAAAATATATTCGTTTAATTGACGCATGATAATTTGTTAAATATTAATTTCGTCATTAAATATTTGATGTATAAAATAATTCAATGAATGGATCTTGTGGAGCATAAAAGTTAAAGTTAAACATTGATAATGTTGGTTGATCTTTTGATAACTCCCATAAGTACCATTAAATTCTCATAGATTTTGATTTATATCAAAACTTATGAACATTCCCACAAAATGCAACTCACATAATGCAATTTTTGTATTACACTCAAAGTAAGGGATTTGGCAAATAATGAATATACATATGTGTGTGTATATATATTTTAATATTTTAATATTATGAATAATTATATTATATATTATTCGGTTCAGATTCGGGGACTGATACGGATTTTGACCCTTATAACCATATCTAAAATCATAACCGAATAATATTCATATTTTTTTCCCATACCCAAAATATACCCGAATTTTTATACCCAAATTCAATCTATTTAGACAATTATCTACGATTATCGAGTTAAACAATTAGAATTGTCATCCTTATCTCTTGGGGTGTCTTCTTCAAACTCATGTCTTGAAACTCATTTCAAGACCGATAAGGACCCAAACGAAGAGACAAATAAAACCATCACAAACCCGCCACTTAAACCCCAAAACCAAAACCAAAAAGAGTTCGCACTCCCTCGCTATTTCGACAGCCAACAATGGCGAAACTGAGGACGTCAATGGACTCAGCCTTCTGGGACTTGAACGTTTCTTCGCCTCAGACCCTTGAGGACTCCGCCAAGGCCGTTCCCGGCGACCCATTTCCTCTCGACGGTGCTCGAGCCAGCCGAGCCCTCAGGATTCAGCAACTGTCTCTTCTGGGAAATGGGTTCCCTTTGGGTGTTATACCTTCCGACTCCCCCACTACTAACAGGGACTTGGGTTCTTTCTCTCTCCAGTCCCTCTTGCTCAGACCAGCTACCTCTAACTGGTACACTGCTACAACTTCTTTGCTTAGCTATTGCCTATTGGATTTTCTCAAATTTATGTTATACTTTCGTTTAATTGATATTCTTTTTCGTTTTATGTGTTTCCGTGGATCAGTTTGTGGTTTGTATGGTTACTGAGAAAATGATGAGTAATGGGTGTGATTCGTTTGTTGTTTGTTTTGTTGCTGGGAAAGTTTGGAGAGAGGAGCAATTGGAATTGTTGTTATAGGGAATTGGTTAAAGGAAAAAGGTTAGCAAAGATACTTTGTCTCCTGTTTGCTGAGAAATGAACATTTTTTTTTTTTCTCCAAATTCGTATTTTCTGTAAACAATTTTTATGTTACTAATTGCCAAATACGTATATTGCATAAACTTTGGGTTATTGGTGAATTACTTGATGTGAGAAAGAGAGCTTGAGTGGAAAGCTTGACAGCCAAACAAAGCTTGTTTGCCTAGTTCTAGTGGTACAGCACATAAAGCATGAATTTTTCGTTGCCTTGTTATTTTAAAATTTTGCAAGGGGGTTCTTATGTTTTTTGAGAGCATCAAAGCTTTATCATGTTTATCAGAGCAATGATTGGGATTATCCAATTTTTTTTATGGGATTTCTTAGGTGAAAAGGTTTGTTGCGATGTTTTGAAATTTGAACAGTATCCTAGCTAATGAATGTACTGTGTAAATGCATTGAATTTTTGTAATTACCGATCCAAATGTGTTGAGTTTAATGTCCTAATTCCTTGAGCATGTTTTCTGTTAAAGGAGTGATTTAAGAGTTACTATGCTTAGACCAAAGTCATCTCACATTAACCAAATCCGGTTAGCACTCTTAGTTGTCAGACATACTAATTCCCTTGTTACATGATCTGCGTGAAAATAGGTGGCTTGGATTAATTGGGCAGTTCTGCCGGAAGAAAATTTTTATCTTCTGTTAAAGCTGAATTTACTAATGGTGAGATGGAGGTCCCTACATTCAAAGATGTGGCAATGCATGTCTTGGACAAGTCACTTTATTCGTTTGGATTCTGTACACAGCTTCTTTTGTCTCCGTCATCATCCATAAAGTTGAGCACAGAAGGGCATGGTGAAAGGACGCCGCAACAAATTGGTGCTCTTTCACAAAGCATGCATTTGCTTTCCTCGTTTTGACCTTTAATCAAATTGTTTAAACAGTCAGAATTCCTGTTATCTTTTGTTTGCCGGGTTCATGAAGCTAGTTTGAATGATTTATGGGTATTGGAGTTGTTAGTTTAAGTTCTTCCTGGGGTTTGTTCATGCCAGGTTGTAGTATCATCCTACTGCGATTTTTTATCTTTCATATGACAAATTTCTCATATAGGAATTAAAGTTAAACATGTGTAATTCTAGGGATGTATCTATATGAGCTATTAATCACTTGAACATATACCAGATTCAGTCAGCATGTATAATCTTAAAGTATTATTCCTAATTTCTTAAAGATAGTGTATGATTTTTCATTTTGTGGGGATTAGAAGGGGGATAAGACATGATGGAAAATAATCCTTTCTGATCCTTACCATTTTGGCTGATTGGAATGGAAAATAATCCATCTCCTACCTTCAAGTAACCCACAATTTTTTTCATTTCTTTCGTCAACATACCTTGAATATAGTCAGTTGTCCATTTCAATCCAATCTTAGAGACCAAATGAGTGTTATGCACTGCACTGAGCATAGATAAAAGTGGAAAGTTTCATGTCTGTAAATTAAGAACCATGTACTGAAAAGATTAATTTATGTACCTTTAACATTGCACATGTGCACTGCATAAGCTGTTTTAGTGAAAAAGTTCATGCCTGTACCTTTATTCCTTCATTTATCTTCCTGTTTAAATTATGAGCCATGTATGAAATTTTACTAACCTTTAAGATGTTTGCCGCTTCCTTATATTACACTTGAGGCTGCATGGCCTGAACTATTCGTTGACCATAAAGGAAAATACTGGGATGTGCCTGAGTCAATTTCCTTAGATATGTCTTCACTTGTTTCCGAATCTGGATTGCGGTACCGCATTGGTGTACATAAGAATAGTGATCATCCCCAGGCTGTTAATTCCATAGATGGTGAGGCATCTACTTATCTAATGCCTGGATTCTGTGCAGCCTTTTCTTATGAAAAAAGCCAAGATCTTTGGAGGCAAAATGAGACACGAAAAGACATCATGATACAGAAAGAAAGGGGTTGGTTTTGGCAGCCATCTTATGATGTGCGTCTTAAAGAACCTCATTCTTCAGTATCTGGAATTTTTGGTAATTTTACATGTATACGTGTTTTGGTACCTCTTAGGTTCACTTATATTGTATGTGTAGTTTTCTACTTTAGTATTAAACCCAGTACATGTAATGAGTTTGTCACCTCCTTTCATCTGTTCCGTGGTTGTAGATGTGCTTGCAATAAAAGAAACATCATAAATAATAATAAAAAAATATAATTCTAGAGACAAAAGTTCTGGTCGAAAAGTAAATTGCTTACTAATTACTTGTTAGTAAATAGTTTACTTAGTAGTTTTTCTATTTGTCATTTTGTAAAACTGTTTTCTGTTGAGATAGCTTGAGCTCATATGCCAAGTGTAGGTCTTAGATCAGTTTTCATTCTATTGGCTCACATGCCTTGGTGTGTCATAATCACAATGGCTTATGTATTGAATGGTGATGATGACTGATGTAAGGAATGAAAGAATATATGAAAGTGGAGCACCATTCTAAATGAAAGAATGATGCTGTTATGAAATATTCTCTCTGCTTCTCTCTAGTTTTTTCTTCTCTCTTCATTCTTCTTGCTCCCTTCGAAATCCAAATGATCAGATTAATGGAAGCTTACTCTAATCTTAACATGGTATCTTGAGCCTAGTTTCTATCTGGAAATGGGGCGTCGAATCTGTAAAGGCTGTGCTTGAAAATCCAACGTGAAATTTCCAACTCAGTTCATTGATTTAGGTCTCAAATGGCTGGGTCAAGTGGTGGTGATCTTCGGGCTCCAATATTCAATGGTGGTAACTATGAATTTTGGAAGATCCGAATGAGAACTATTTTCAAATCGCATGGAATCTGGGATTTGGTTGAAAAGGGTTTTGAAATTCCAGAATCGAAGGGGAAGAAGGTCGAAGAGGAAGGCTCATCAGATTCAGAGAAAGCTTCGCTGAGTGATAAGCTAATAAAGGATGCTAAGGCGTTGGGTATCATTCAAGGAGCAGTTTCGGAGGATATTTTTCCCAGAATCTCGAATGAGGAGACCTCAAAGGGCACTTGGGATATTTTACACCAGGAATTTCATGGTGATAAACAAGTGAGATCCATCAAACTACAAGGTCTACGCCATGATTTCGAGTACACGAGGATGAAGGATGATGAAACCATGTCTGTGTATCTCACTCGTCTTCTCACGCTGGTGAATCAAATGAAAGGGTATAGGGAAGATTTAGCCAGAGAGCATTTGGTTCAGAAATTGCTTATAAGCTTGACCAAAGAATTTGATCCAGTTTGCTATGTGATCAATCAAACTAAGGATATTGAAACTATTGAGTTGCAAGAGGTTATTGCTTCTTTGAGAGGATTTGCATAGCGCCTTGATAGGCATGCTAAGAGTACCACTGAGAGAGCTTTCAGTAGTATGAGTGTGAATCCAAAGGGAACTCAGTCAAATCCTTCTTTAGGTAACTCTAAACCAAAGAAGAACTGGAAATCGAAGGGAAAGAAATGGGACCCTAAACCTCAAAACTTTGTCAATCAAGGTGGAAAACCTGATCAGGCTAAGGGAAAATGCTAACATTGTGATAAGCTACACTATGGTGAGTGTTGGTTTAAAGGATAGCCAAAGTGTCACGGTTGCAATCGATTTGGTCATTTCATCAAGGACTGTGATCAACCAAACAAGGCTGGAAAGCTTGTAAACTTTGCAAATTAGTAACAGAACCTGCAACCATGTTTTATGCCTGTCATTCTGCTATTATTGGGAGAAATATGAACATATGGTATGTTGACAGTGCATGTAGTAATCATATAACCTCTCATGAATCTTTGCTTGTTGATGTTGATAAAAATGTGAAGTGTAGAGTTAAAATGGGCACTGGAGATTTAGTGCAGTCAATAGGCAAAGGTATCTTGGTTATAGAAATGAAAGGTGTGACTAGATATATTAAAGAGGTTATGATTGTACCTGGATTGGATGAGAATTTATTGAGTGTAGGGCAGATGGTAGAGCATGGATATTGGCTTGTGTTTGGTGATTACATGGTTGATATATATGGAGAAAGACAGATGGAAGATTTGATTGCAAGTGTTCAAATGAAAGGAAACAGATGTTTTCCCTTAAGTCTAGAATATGTTAATCCTCTCATGGCTAATAGAGCAACTGTTGAAAAGTCATCTTGGTTGTGGCATAGAAGATATGGACATCTAAACTACATCAGTTTGATGCTCCTGCAAGAGAAGGAAATGGTGCAGGGTTTACCTAAATTACAAGTCACTGAGCATGTTTGCCCTGGATGTGCTACATGGAAGGGTCATAGAGAACCATTCGATAAGGAAAAGGCTAGGAGAGCATCACAACCTCTAGAGCTGATTTATTCTGATATCTGTGGTCCAATACAGATCACTACTCTTGGAGGGAACAGATTCTTCCTTACCTTTATTGATGATCACACTAGAATGTGTTGGGTGTTCTTTCTGCAGCACAAGTCACAAGTCTTCAACATCTTTAAACGGTTCAAATGCATGGTTGAGCTATAGAGTGGTTATCAAATTAAGAAACTCAGGAGTGATAGGGGTGGATAATACACATCCCTAGAGTTCTCTAAGTTCTGTGAAGATATGGGGTTAGAAAGGCAATTAACTGTTGCCTACTCTCCACAACAAAACGGTGTTGCAGAGAGAACCGTACTGTGGTTGAAATGGCTAGGACAATGATGTTTGAAAAGAAGATTCCCTTGAAGTTTTGGGCTGAAGCTGTGAACACGGCTATGTATTTGCAAAATTGGTGTCTAACAAGTGCTTTGAACAACATAACTCCATTTGAGGCATTTAGTGGGAGGAAACCAGGTGTCAAACATTTGAAGATATTTGGTTCTCTGTGTTACATTCACATTCCTTCACAGAAAAGACACAAATTGGAAGAAACTAGTGAGAATGGTGTATTTGTTGGATATGGCAACTGTGAAAAAGAATATAGGGTTTTCAACTTGAGAACTCAGAAAGTTGAATTATCAAGGAGTGTGATATTTGATGAGAAAGCAATGTGGGAATGGGAATCTAATGAGGTAGTGCAAGTCTCTAATCCTTGGAATGATGAAGGAAGCTCAAGGATATTTGAACTTGACTCAGAGTCAAATGACTCACCTCAGTCTATGCAATCTCCTCTGAGATCACAAACAACTAGAGACCTGCAAGCATCTCAGGAATCTGGTTCACTTGGTTCTCCAGTTTCAATCTCATAGACTATGATCATACTCCACAAAAATGGAAGATTTTGAGTGATGTTTATGCTCAAGGTAAGATGAGCATTATTGAACCTAAAGATTTCAGTGAGGCAGTCAAAGATGAAGCTTGGAAAAAGGCTATGACAGAAGAGATGTTGATGATTGAAAAGAATTCCACTTAGGAAGACAGACCAAGTAGCAAACCTATTGTGGGAGTGAAGTGGGTATATAAAACAAAGCTTAACCTTGATGGCTCCATTCAAAAGCACAAGGCAAGGCTTGAAGCCAAGGGTTACACACAGAAACCAGGTATTGATTTCAATGAAAACTTTGCTCCAGTGGCAAGGTTAGATACTATTAAGACACTCATTACTCTAGCTGCACAGAAAGGTTGGAAATTGTGGCAATTGGATGTTAAATCAGCCTTTCTAAATGGTGTTCTCGAGGAGGAGGTATATGTGGATCAACCTGATGGTTTTGTGATTAAAGGGGCTGAAGACAAGGCGTATAGGTTGAGAAAAACCCTCTATGGTCTAAAACAAGCACCCTAGTATGGTGAAATTGACACATATTTGATTCATTGTGGGTTTCACAGAAGTTCAAGTGAAGCAACTCTTTATATGAGAACCAAAGAAGGTGTTGGGGCTCTAATTGTTTCAATCTATGTAGATGACATAGTATATACAGGGAGCAGTGATGAAATGATGCAAGAATTCAGGACTGAAATGATGAGCAAGTATGAGATGTCATATTTGGGTTTACTTTATCATTTTCTTGGAATGGGAGTAACTCAAACTGAAGGGAGTATATTTATACATCAGAAAAAATATGCTTTGACACTCTTGGATAAATTTGGCTCAAAGACTGCAAGCCAGTGAGCACACTCCATTGGTTGCAACTGACAAATTGAGAAGTGATGATGATAGTGAACCTGCATATGAGAGTTTATACAGGAAAATTGTTGGGAGTCTGCTGTATTTGACAGCAACTAGACCAGATATTATGTTCTCTGCTAGTTTACTTGCACGATTCATGCATAAGCCTTCCAAGAAGCACTATGGAGTTGCTAAAGGGGTTCTAAGGTATATCCAGGGGACAATTGACTTTATGATTGAATATGTGGTTGGAAAGTCTGCTCTATTGATTGGCTACTATGATAGTGACTGGAGTGGATCTGAGGAGGACATGAAAAGCACGTCAGGGTATGCTTTTTCATTTGGAAGTGGGGCATTTTCATGGGCCTCGGTTAAACAGCATAGTGTGGCACTTTCAACTGCAGAAGTTGAGTATGTTAGCACGGCTGAAGCAACTACACAGGCCATTTGGCTTAGGTTTGTACTCAAGGACTTTGGAGAGGAGCAAGCCATTGCAACTCCCTTATTCTGTGATAACATCTCTGCTATAGCTATGTCTAAGAACCCTGTGTTTCATCAGACAACCAAACACATTGGCAGAAAGTTTCACTTCATTAGAGATGCAATTCAAGAATGAGTAATTGATTTGATTTACTACAATAGTGAAGAACAAATTGTAGACATCTTTATAAAGGCTCTTCCCAAAGACAGATTCAACTACCTGAGAAGCCCACTTGGTGTGAAATCAGTTAGCAATTTAGAAGGGAGTGTTGAAAAGTAAATTGCTTACTAATTACTTGTTAGTAAATGGTGTACTTAGTAGTTTTTCTATTTGTCATTTTGTGAAACTGTTTTCTGTTGAGATAGTTTGAGCTCATTAGCCAAGTGTAGCTCTTAGATCAGTTTCATTCTAATGTCTCACATGCCTTGTAATTGCCATGTGTCATAATCACAATGGATTATGTATTTAATGGTGATGATGACTGATGTGAGGAATAAAGAATATATGAAAGTGGAGCACCATTCTAAACGAAAGAATGATGCTGTTATGAAATATTCTCTCTGCTTCTCTCTCTAGTGTTTTCTTCTCTCTTCATTCTTCTTGCTCCCTTCGAAATCCAAATGATCAGATTAATGGAAGCTTACTCAAATCTTAATAGTTCTAACAGAACAATTCAATATTTTTGTTTTATGTTTATGAGTCCAGGTCCGTTACCGGCAGTATGCAATCTCTTAAGGTTTTTACTTTTACCATTTCCTGATGTTTGCACCAGAGAAGACCAGATATGGAATTCTATAATTGTCAAAATTAATGTGTAGTCAACCTAGTCATTGTTAGCGATATAGTTCTTTTTTATTTGCAAAATGAAATTGTAATGCTATTTCTCACTTTTTCTTCTGGTCAATGGTGGCATTACATTTTTGGTGGAAGCTGCACTGCCTGGTTTCAGGATGGGTACAACCTAGTGGCAGTTGATATGAAGGGAGACGAGGAAAATTCTAGGAGCAATAAGAAGAGAAGTCCATTAAGTGCTGATTTTTTCGGCTCTCTGCTATACTTTCCAGCACGGGAAATTTAGAAAGCTCTACAGTGATCTAATCAGGATTGATTGTCGTCGGGATATTGGTTCAACTGCAGCTTTGGCTAAAAGGGTTATTAATGGTTTGAAGAGTTCGTCCGCTAAAAGTGCAAAAGATCCGATGTCCTCCCTTAGGATCAATCTAATCTTTTAGCAGCAGGTATTTCCATTTATACCTTAACTTCTTAAATGTTGTCCACCTTAAGTTGGAAGAGAATTTTTAAATGCAGTTCTGCACAATATGCTACAAATCACAATATGTTACAAAACTTGCATAGTCATTTGCTAATTGGTACTTGTGGAAACGTGTATGCCCTGTCTTATTTCAATAATCTACAGTCATTTTTCTGCTGATGTATCTGTACAGTCGTTTTACTGCTCATGTGTCTTAATGTACAACTTTTAGATCAGTGTAGAACTTTAAAATGAGAGGATGAAAAGCTGAGCTCCTATATATGGCTATTAACATGCATGGCTGGGGTGAATATTTTGGTTACTGGGATGAAAATCCAATTGTTATTGACACATTACCTTTCCTTTGTAGATTTATGGGCCAATTGTCTTTAGAGCGGATTCTAGGGTTGCACTTGACTATTTGCGCGGGAAACATGCCCCACATATTGAGGATTTCATATACAACTTGGGCTACTCCTTGAGACTTATACGATCAGGGAATGTCGTTGCTTGGTATTCCCCAAAAAGAAAAGAAGGGAT